GGAATTTCAAAAAACAAATTCCTGCTAGAGATGGAGAGAAGAAAAATCTAGTTAAACATGGTATGTTTAAAATTGACAAAACGATCATTTTAACGCCGACTTATTTTCGGCGTTCCATTAAAGGCTTGATGAATAAAATGGAAAAGTGGAGAAGCAAGCAAAGAAGCGGCAGAAGGCGAATCTGTTCGAAAACGAAGGCAAGCAAACCAGGAGGAAAATAAGTGAAACCTTAAATCAATTAAGCGATACGCAACATTAAATAAAATTAGTCTGAAAATAAATGAAAAGGAACGCAAACATTCAAGCTGAAAAAGAAGCACGAACATAAACACGCGACAGAAAACGGGAACGAAAAGAAGGCAAACTTTCATTGATTTTCTTTTAAAAATGTGTTCTGATTCTTATTCGGCGACAATTTTTCGCCTTTTCCGCCGCCGAGGGGTTTCTGATCATGCAAATGGAGGATTTAAACAAAGTGATGATTGCCAAAACGTAAAGAACATCAGATGATTAAATCACCCACTTTTCTCAGTAAAATAAGCGGAAAATACTTGCTTTTCTCGACCATCTCAATTAAGCGATTTGCAGCAGAGCCAGGAACGAATAAGGCAAACATACAAACATACAAACTACAAAAGAAGCGCACAGAAAAACACACGATAGAAAATAGGTGCAGGGAAGAAAGCAAACTTTGACCGTTCAAGGGGTCATTGTGAATAATTTTCTTGACTGTTTGTTTTAAAAACCTTTCCTGCTATTGATTTTGCACCACATTTTCGACAACCTTCGGACAATGAAAATTAAAGATGGATAAAAATGACGAGTGTAAACGTCCAAGGAAAATAAGCTGGGTAAATCACTTTCTTGCAGCAGTAAAATATTGCTTCGTCTTAATTAAGCGATTCGCAGCAGAAACCGGAGAGAATAAAATGGCTCTAGAGATTCTAGAGAGAAATAAAGCGCGCAGAAAAACACACGATCAATTCAGAAAATAGTGAAGGGAAGAAAGAAACTCCCAAGGAAAATCAGGCAGAAACAGGAGAGAAAAAATGCGTTTAAAATTAGATAAAACAGAACGGAAGCCTACAAGCTCAAAAGAAAACACGAAGACTCGATGCAGGGAAAAACTCATCTCAACATCTCCATGTGGATTTTTCTGAGGCAGTTTTAACTCTTTTCAGAAGAGATTTGCGGTGAAAGTTACCAGGAAAATGAAGTCCAAAGATCCGAACAGGCTCGCGTTTGCCAATTTCCTTGTTTTGAAAAAGGAAAATAGTGAGTTATAATGCGCGCTTTGATGACTTTCCAGACTTCCACCTGAGAGCAACTGAGCCAAACAGCAGTTAAACGAACCGATATCCTAAAAATACGGCGGCCTAGATTATTTTCGTTTTGAGACGCGCTTAAACAGTTTCGAAAACGTCTTGAGGCACCGTAAAATTAACACCTCATTTCCCGATTTACGAGTAAGGATTCAATGGGAATGCGTTATCAATGCTTGCCGATCAATATTTATGGCGATCGTTTGATTTATTCGGTCCATGCATTGTCTACAGTTCATAAACGGATAATAACTTATCGACTGCCATTAAATTACAACAACGATAAATCATCGGGTCGTTGTATATACCGAGTGTGTGTGTGTTCGGGCCGTGATAACGACAACGAATTAATAATAATGTCTGAAGCTGGACAGGCCGGGAGCCAGGAGACTTTTCTCTTCCGTGTCCGCTCCAACGTTGAAAACGCAAAAACTCAAATTGTCTAATGATTTAAATCGAACAGAGTAAACATCCCACATATTCGTGGCAGAAAGCCCTCGAGATTGCCGCCCCCAAAGCGCTTTTCCTTTGCAAATATAATTTCGGGAAAACCACCGTGGCACGTTTTCGCGACAGTCAAAAGGCAGGCTCTACTTTCGTAATCTGGGGACTTGGAAAAAATTGCCAGAATGCGATTTCTGCTGGTTGTTTGTCCCTTTCAAACATCCACAGGCGGCATATGGAATTTGAGGCGTTTTGAGCGATTTGGGGTTTCAACTTTCACACGAGTGTTTTTAAGAGCTTTCGACCGAATTAAATCAGTGAAACACCAGACTTGTTTTCAATCAAAATTCCGTTCTGTTTTCTGAGCGCTAGAATCTAAACTTCCTAGCAAAGAAACAGTCAATATGCCTATACAAAGATACAAAGAAAAGCTTCTTCCGAATGAGTTCGGACAGTTTTTTGCGTCGTGCGGATTTTGCACTGTCTTCTTCAAAAGGCAATTTCTGAGGAACCAGACAAGTTAACAGTTTGCAGCTTTTAGTATCTTCTAAAGGAAGACGT